CTACCCCTCTGCAAAGGATGTCTACGAAGGGATCAGGTAGCAGACACCAAAGAACAAAAACCATCATTTGTGATCACCTTCCCCATATAAACACTGAAGATGAATATGTGCATAAGTAAGTGTGAAGAAAGCTGATGGTGCCTGGCTATGGAGAGATATAGCGTCTGGGGTTTTAAAGGCTTGAAAATAAACCAGCGGCCATCTAGCCCAGAAGCAACAAAGCCCACATAGAAGCAGGGCACCAACATGTGTGATCAGGAAGGGTCGTGGGGACCAGGTATCAAGCATCAAAGGCGGGGGAGGGGGAAGGGGGAAAAATTATATCATCGTGAATAAGGGGAGCACATGAAGGGGACCCAATGCCATGATTGACTTTATAGTGGGGACTCTGCAAACGGATTTTGGACTTCCATTGTTATCCACAGCCTTCTGCAAACTGGTTGTTCACAATTTAAGTTCTGATAACATTCCCTCCTTTGGATTTGAATTTTATTATTTACAGTCCTTGGATCACACAGGCTGGTGTTCTTTTTCCATGTGTGCTTAGTTGATGCCTCATTTGGATGGCCCTGAAGACCTCAGACACGATTCTTTCTGGTAGTTGGGTTCTTCTCCATATTTTGTTGTAGTACTCTTATCTTCAGTGATCTCTGATTGAAGGTGAACCTTGAGTTGGGCCATGTTATAAGAATTAATTTTTCTTAGATTGGGACTAGAATGAAGTGTGATGCCAAATCCATTCTTATATCTATGGCTTATATATGCCTCTGGTTTACTTAAGAGACATCCTTATATTTTTTTATAATAGAGAACATTATAAATCATCCCCCTGGGACATAAGGTAATTCTATTGATAGTGCCATTAATTTAGCCAGTGGTATAGAATTTGATACATTGCTGAGAAGAGGGAATTATACAAGTGTAGGCTGGCTTCAGACTGCAATACATGAATTGTTGACTTGTACATATTAAATTATTTTTTTAAAATAATTTCATTGGGTGCTCATACAGCTCACATCACAATCCATAAATACATCCACTGTGTCAAGCACATTTGTACATTTGTTGCCATCATCATTTTCAAAACATTTTCTTTCCACTTGAGCCCTTGGTATCAGCTCCCCTTTTTTTTCCCCTCCCACCCCTCCCTCCCTCATTAACCCTTGATAACTTATAAATTTCTTTTCATGTCTTACACTGACTGCTGTCTTCCTTTCACCCACTTTTATGATGTCCATTCCCCTGGGAAGGAGTTATATTGTGATCATTTCCTCTTTTCTCCCCCCAGATTAAATTCTTAAGTGACAGGACACTATTTACACAACAATGGGGTTTTGTGATAGGGCAACACTTTTGATAACACTCATTCATGGAGGCAGAATCATGCCTACTAGATTAATACATGTCTTAGAAAAGCAAGGAGGACATTAACATAGTAAACATATGGTGGTCCCAGGCCAGCATTCACCCTCAAAGCAAGAGATCTGAGCCAAAGTTCAATGACAGTCAATTTCATAGATTTGGGATAGGACCCATTAGCTTCTTTCACACTAAGGCATTTCAGCCTTGGAAAAAAAATGCTTAAGAGATTATATAACATCCTTTTGTCTTCTATACCTATGTAACTTTCACAAAAATTTTGACAAAAAGTAAATTATGCTGTTTTGTATAACATAAAATATTTGTCTTCTGTGTAATGCAGGTCCGAAGGGAACCAAAGATGAAATTGAAGATGAGGATTTTGATGACTCTTTCAGGGTAACAGTGTCCAAACTACCTATATATGCTTCCGATTTCTCAAAGGATGCTTTAGTATTTAAAGAGCAAAAAGATGCATTTCCTTCATATATCCAGTCACATCCAGTCATTCATCAAAAACCAATAATTAACCGGGAGAGTGCATCAGAGAGGAATATAATAAGAGAGTTTTTTATAACACAACGAAATGGCATGAAACTCAAAGCAGTTTGTGATATTGATCACTATTACATGGAAGAAAAGAAGCAAAGAAGCCATAAGGAAAAGCTAACAGCTGTTGCCGTGGCAAACATTGCCAGAGGAAAAGCCCAACAAACCGTGAAAGAAAGTGTATGTAAGAGAAACTACATTGCACAACAAATAGAGGGAAAACATGCGGAGGCCATTCAGAAGGGTTTACAACAACACTGGCAGGACAGAGCCAACTACATTGAGCAAGTGAGAGAGAGGAGAGGTCGATTTCTAGAAGAAAAGAAACGAAAAACCGCAGATCGTTTATTAATTCAAGATTTAAATAATGGTCGCACTATTTTCTCCCAAGGCATAATGAGAGCTAACAGATTGAGGAAGAATACAGCTATTTTAAAAGAGAAAAGTAACATTGTTCAGCAAAAACGAAATATGGAGAAATATCAAGAAGAATTACGTAAACAAATGAAGAAAATTAGGTATGTATACTTTTGATATGGTAGAAGTTTTTGTTTTTACAATATTACATTTTTTAAAATTTTACATTATTAAATGTTTAGCTCTAAAGTGTTTGGGGTATGATGTGATATAATCTAGTTTGGAAAATGGAAACAAAGGACAAGCTATGTACCAAAGCTTTGTCACCAAAGATCAGACAGCATACAGCTGTTCTTCCCTCAACCCCAACTTCATCCAAGATCACCTGCTTCTTAAGAATATTTCCTATTGTATAAATGACAACATTTATTATTACTTATTATTAAGATAATTGTTAAGATAGTAATAATTTATTATTATTACCTTGATCAGTGATAGAATCTCAGTCTTTTAAAGCTCAGTCTCCCTCATTGCCAGCAAGCTAAATTGCTTCAGTATTCTATTCATTTAATTTCTGTCCTTCATTGTAAAACCAACTTCTCCTCTTTTAAATTATACTCTCATTATTGCCTGCCAGTGCAGGATATTAAGCACTGCTGCTAGCCACAAGGTTGGTGGTTCAAACCCCACCAGCCACTTTGCAAGAGAAAGATGAGGCTCACTTCTAAAGAGTTATAATCTCAGATATCTTAAAGTGCAGTTCTACTCTGTCCTGTAGGGTTGATGGGAATTAGAATTAAATTGATGGCAAGGGGTTTGGTTTGGTAATTGCTCATAGGATCCTCCCATTGAGTTATCCATTTACATCCTCACCACTTATTGTTTCTTTTAAAATAAAGGGCTGGTCATGTCTTTCCCACTTAAATATGTGGATAGCATGCAGGTTTGCACGGAATAAATCAGCTCTCTGAATGACATCTCAGAAATCGTGGTCTGTTTCTGTCTACCTTTTCACATGAATGACATGCCACACTAAATGTTTCTGCTATAACTTTCTCCCTCTTCCCTAAATAGCACTGTCTCTTTGCTCCGGACCAACAGAATCATTCACCACTCCCTAACCAAGTATTATCAAAATTCCCACACACATGCTGAAAGTGGAAAATGATCAAAGACAGAATAATTGATGCATTTGAATTATATGGTTAGAAAAGAGCATTGACTGTACATGGGCTTCAGAACAAACAACTCTGTCTTAGAAGAAGGGAAACCAGAATTGTCTTCAGAACTGAGCTTTTAAAATATTATCTGGAGGGAGTTTTCTCTGGAGAAGGACATCATGCTTGGTAAAATAGAGTGTCAGCAAAAAAAAAAAAAAGAGGGAGACCGTTAATAAGATGGAAGGATGCAGTGCCCCAAACAATAGGCTCAAACATAGCAACACTTGTGAGAATGGTGCAGAAATAAGCAGCGATTTGTTATATTGAACATAGAATTGTTTTTAATCATAACCAACTTTATGGGACCTACCAACACAAAAAACAAACTCAAATCTTCCCTTCTTTATCCTTAGGACTAAAACTGCATTAGTTTCTTTTCCTTCAAATAGACACAACACCAGAGCACGACGGAGCCCTGATCCAGAGTGGTTCTGTACTGGGCTAGGATCAGCAAGGTCAAGAGATAGAAATTTCCCCCAGCTGCTCCTCAGGAGAAGCGCTAGGCTTCCCACTCATGTAACGAGTAACCGTTTCAGAAACCCACAGGCACAGTTCTACCCTGACCTATAGGGTTGCCATAAGCTGGAACTTACTGAATGGTAGGGAGTTTGGAGTTTGATGTGGTCACTACAAGCCTATGTGTATTGTTACCGTTATTTTTCTTCTAGAATTAATAATGTAACACAGGCCTCTGTAAGACTATGTAAATTAGAATGTCCTTAAATATTTACGTTGGTGAGAGGGCGGTGCCTTTATGTGAAGAAAGGTACTCTTTCCTTCAGAGGGAGACCTGCTGCTCGACCTCTGGGCGTGTCTGAGGATCGCGGAGCTCCCTTTGATTCTGTCTTCACCTCCACTGGTGGAATCGTGCTAGCTCTCCTTTAGGAGCCGCTCAAAAGCCACCCAATTTTCATGTCTCTCCAACGGTCCTGCTATTCACTTGGCATTTTATTTAAAGATCAATTGGCACCGTTGTCACAAGAGGACCAATATGATAATTAGTTTGCGAGGTCTGTTCTAACACAATTTGTTCTATATTTCAGTTCCTATTTTGGTTTTTAGTAAAAAATATTCAATCAACAAATCTATTGATAAATATAAGTAGAAATCTCAGTTTTAAAAATCTGCAATTATTGTTTAAAAGCCTATTTAATTATATAATAGACTTCAGACATGATAATTATTTCTACATATCGATATTAAATATTGAAGGCATTAAAAAGAAAAATAATATATTTTTTCCTAAGCAGTGATAGGTTGCTTATCAACTTGGTGGGTCAGGAATGTTGAATGATATGATCCAATATAGTGTGGTCCACTCCACGATATGATCTTCTGTGAAGGGGCAACTAGTTGTGCAGAGAACAGACCTCTCTAACCCGAGTACAGTCTTGATTCATTCAGCCTGTGGCACCTTGTAACTTTAAATTGAACGTATGTGGAAGCTAGTGGACTTTTGATGTATTTGAGTCCTGTATCTGGTTTGTCGACCACCTGTTATATCACCTGGTAATCCCAGGAGCCAGCAGTGGACTTGCAATAGTAGATGGATTCAGCCAACCCTGTGTTTATTCATCTCAGAATCCACCAGCCTATGGTCTTCCTACTTCATCATTCTCCTTCATCTTCAGCAATTCCTGCAGCCACAGAAGTAAGGAGAAGCCTTCTGCTTATGTGTGATACACAGACTTGAGCCAAGCTGGATTTCTGCAGTGGTGTGAGCCATTTCTCGATGTGAACATTTTTCTATATCGCTACAAGTATCGCTGTTTTTGCTTCTCTAGAGAATCCAGTCTAAGACATATTCCAATTGGGTGAAATTTTGTTTTTTTTTGTATTGGGATAAAATCCCTAGTGAATTGCATAATCTTTCAGTTAGTGCTCCAAATCCTTTTGAATTTCAGCCAGCAATGTTGTTATTGACTCTTCCCCCATTCTTGGAGCCAACTGCTTTCTTCATAAAGTCCAGTTCCCTGGATTATTTGTTCAGTGTGCAGATTGAATACATATGGTAAATGATGCAACCATGAAGCACATTACTCTTGATTTTAAAACATGCAGTATCCTATTGTTCTCTTTGAATGTCTGTCTTTGTGCAGGTTTTGCATGAGCAGAAGTTCCCATTCTTCATATTATCCATACAGTATTGACATAAAATAGAATGTCTTTGAAAAATAAAGTAAAACATAGGTAAACATATTTCACGTTTACTTTGTTTTAGGCAAGATTCATTTGACATCAGCAATAATCAGCCTTCATTCTATAGTTTTTTCTGAATAACTATTAACATCCTGTCAGTTTTTTGTCAATGGATTGCTGCAAGTATTTTTGAATTTTCACCAACAAACCTTTACTTGTGTGTGATATTTAATGCACTATTTTATAACTTTCTCATCCTATCAAACCACTTTAACTTGGAGTCAGCACAAATATGGATCTAGTCAAGCCCATTGACCATGTAGCTGTCTTCCAGATTTCTTAGCATTTTTGAGATAGTGGTTCCAGCATTGCATCCATTTGCTGAAATATTTCAATCAGTGTCCCCTCATTTTCTGGAGGGACTCTTGTTTTTGGCTAATGATTTCTTTAAACTTGAGCATCTTCCTTTAGTACCATCAGTTCCTGAAATGGAACATTGACCGGTTCTTTTTGGCACATTGACTCTGTGTTTTCCTTCCATCTTCTTTGATGCCTCCTGTATGAGTCTGGGTTGACTAGAGAAACAAATTCATAGACACTCATATGTGTATAAATAAGTAAGAGCTTTGTATCAAAGAGTAATTGTGTATTAAAAAAAACTCCCAGTCCACTACAGATCAAGTCCATAGATCCGATATTAGCCCATATGTCTGATACCAGTCTATAAACTCCTCTTCAGACTCACACAATGCATGCAATGATGCTGGATGCAGGAAGATAAAAGGTTAATGCGTGGAAAATCTTGTAGATCCAGTGGCAGTGGAAGCATTTCAGCACTGGTGTGGGTTTCCATGTGGTTCCTCCAGCTCCACGGCTCTGGCTTTATCAGTGAAACACCATCTGGCTCGTCAACAGGAAAATCTCGGAGGCAGAGTGTGTGTCTTGCCTCCAGGGAGGAAGACAGGAGTTCCCAGTGTCCTCAGGAGAAAGTCAGGCACACACTGAGGCCTCATTGTGATTGACAGGCTAGATTCCACCCCTTTGCTCAAGTTGACAGGAGATCATGTAACTGCCACACCTTCTGTATCATTAAATATGTTTCCTTTAGAATTCTTCCATATTATAATAATATTGGTTTTACAGTTCTTTAAGTAGGAGAAATATTTAATGCACTCTTCCTTCCCCGGGTCTTTGTACAGTTCATTGGAATATTTGCCTTTTCCAATGAACTCTGTTGACATATTTTGTTACGTGTTGGGCTGCTCACCACCAGGCATTCAAACACTAGCCATTCTTCACAGGAGAAAGAGGAGCCTTCCTGCTCCCAAGCGGCCTGAAGGGCTGCTATGGCTTAGAACTATGTCAATGGCTGTGAGCTTGGTTGTGTCTTCTCCAGCTCCTCCTTGATTTTCCCATTCATCTCTTTCATTCTTCATTCTTCCTACCTATTTTAGACATTCTACCTGCATTCAACGGTACGTTTTAGAGTCTTTTCTCATATATTTTGGTCTTTTAATTTTTCCTATATTTTAAATGGCCTTTTGCTTTCTTCTGGAATGGTGTTGTTGATTGTGGGATTGATTCCCCAGTGCTGTTTCTATCACCAGGGCCATATTTTCCAACTACCAATGCTTCCTCTCTGTTTAGAACTGTCAGGTTTCTGTCTCCAGTAATTATAGATGTATCTTAATTGTGTATTTGATCAACTTCACGTTGAGAGAAGCTGGTAAAATTATTTATTTTCTTCACCGTTAGCTTTAGTGATTGGTGCATAAATCTAAATAGTTGCCATACCAACTAGT